CATTACTTTTATATCAAAAAAATAAATGCAAAAATATCATTACAGTACTTTTATCTATACATTATAAATAATATACTATTATTTCTTAAACTCCGCCTCAAAAATAAATGTATACTTATTGTTTGGACGGAGGGAGTATAATTGTTTGTTTAGTATTTTAATTTAAAATATCTTTTTATATAAAACACGAATAATTGTATCGGTAATATAAAAAAAATTATTTTATATTAAGTATTAATATTTCGTGAGAGAATAATATATTTAAATATAAAAAATTATATCAATAAAAATTTTGTTGGACAAACAATCCTAATGTGTGCTTGCTTAATGTTTATAATTTGAGTTTTTATTTTATTTTATGTACGAAGAAGAATGTTAGTAATATAAATTATACTAATATATATCAAATTATTGTTTTTTGTGAGGAAACAAAATATATACTGCTTTAAACTTTTATTTGATTTTTGCGCGTGAATTTATCTAAATTAATATTTTATAGATATGTAATAAAATAGTGTAATATCTATTTTGTCTTTGACGAAAAAAGCATAATTAAACACAATTTCAATTTTATCTTTTTTTAAATACTATATTCAATATATAATAATTTTATTCAATCATTACATCAAAGGTAAAAATTAAATAATATAAAAAAAAATAGCGAAATTGTTTATAATACACCAATGATTTGAAAAATTGATATTATACTGGCATAATTTAAAAATTATATAAGATTCTTCATATTTTACAAACATTATACAGAATTTCTTAAATTTTATACTAGACTTTCCTGTATTTTTAAAATATTGTATAGAATACTCTAAAAAAAATTTTGTATCCTATTTAAAAAACACAGAGAGTCTTATGAATTATTTAAACAATAAAATAGAATAATTATTTAAATAATAAAAAAGAATAATACAATTTTTTAAACCAAAGATAATTATAAATAATTTTTTCAAAAGAATAAAATAAAATAAAATTGCACCTAGACAAGCTCTTTTGACTCTAGAAAGTTTTTGAATTTTAAAATTTTCTTAAAATAATAAAAAGTTTACTAGTTAATGTCATATTTATAGAAGTATATATATATATATTAATATAATAATTTTCCAAGTTATTGTTGAAGAATATTTTGAAAATTTTCAGAAAATGTCTAGACATATTGTTGATGTATTTTTTCAACAAATAAAAAGTAAAATTCAAAAGATATGGAAAATATGCTTAAATTTGATTAATTAGCGCATGAGATTAGAAATTTCTAAACACCGTACCGTACATAAGAAAAGTAACTGGAGATAAAAATGCTGAAAATTTAAAGTGGTGATCCCCGAATCTGACTTTGTTTTGTTGAAGTTGATTGAAGATACATTCTTCAGAAAAATTCAAATCCTTAAATATTCCTTGAAGAAAATGCTTGGAACCGTCGACTGGTCGGTTACAGCAACCGCCGTCAACAACCCAAAAGAAACGTTTTGAAACGTCGCCTGGTCAGTTACAGTCTCGCCAACTGCATAACCCAACCGACTAATCCAGCGACTAACTGGTCGCTGGACCAAAAGACTCCTTGGCCGCCCCCACCAAGCGACCAAACTACTGTTCACTTAAGTGGACAATCAATTATCAGACCTTACTTCGCCCGACCTCCGTAGCACCTGACCCGCAGACCTTTCGACCTATGGACCATCCGACCCGCTAACCAACCGACCTGACTATCCGACCACAGACCTTCCGACCTGGCTATCCAACCGAGGACCTTCCGACCTGCCTATCCGACCGAGGACCTACCGACCTGCTTATCCGACCACAGACCTTCTGACCTGCCGATCCGACCGAGGACCAACCGACCGAGGACCAACCAACCGACCAAAACAACCGATCGAGGACCAACCGACCTGAGTGCAAATTTTTCTTCTTTTCCTCATGACTTCGTGTTTAATTTCCTTTAAAATACTGCTATCCTTATTTTTTGTGCGTAATATATATATATATATAGCAAAATTAAATAATTCTTATCTTCCCTCATTTTTTTCTTTATTTATTTCTTCTCCAAAAAATATAATTATTAAATATAATGTTTTGAGCAAAATATTATTAATGTTAATTATTTTTTTTGAAAAAAAAACTAATTTTTCTATATATTCACTCAATTTTCAATTATTTATTATTATTATTATTATTATTATTATTATTGTTGTTGTTGTTGTATGTGTATTGTGTGTGCAATTTATTCAAAGTCAGGAGTCAATAGCTGTTGACGTTAATGCATGTCTTACATCAATACATGTTTTATCATCACTCCATAATAAAATAAAATATTTATTTTTTATATTATATTAAATTTAAAATATTCAATCAATATCATATCAAATAAATTATTTAAATTATAAAAAATTTTAACTATTCAAAACTCAAATAAAAAATGTAACTTCTAAACCAAACATGGCTTAAAGTTCCATTTCAATAAAGATTCTTTTTTTAGAGTTTTTGAATTTTAAAAAAATTTGAAATTTTTGATGTGATTTTTATTGGAGAAAATAAAAAATTCATCCGTCCAAAAATTGTATTGGTTGTATAATAAGAGTTAGTTCACTTTTGTATTTTTTTGTTAAATGTATTTTTATATTAAGTATAAAAAATTATATCAGTAATATAAAAATAATATTTTGTATTGAATTATTAATTTTTCGTAAGTAAATAAAATATATATAGTATACATATTGTAATTTTATAATATTTATGAAAAATCCTGCTAAATTCATTATTACAAAAGATGTCATAAAAAGAAGCAAATAAATTTAGAAGTATTTTTTTTTTTTTCATCCTTAATCATACATATTAAATTAATTTATACAATATATATCTATATATTACCTAATGGATGTTTGATTATGATTTCAAATTGAAAAAACATTATTTACCCTATATGATGCTCAGTAAAAATATATTTACTCCGTCCCACATACCGTGTCTGCTACACCGTAGACACAGTATTTTAGGAGGGATATAATTAGTAGATAATTAAAAATGTATTAGTAAAAATAATTATCCTATAATATAAATAATTATAAATTAAGATTAAGATAACTAATTAATTTAATTAAAATTTAAAAAAATAAATTAAAAAGTTTAAAATGAGATTAAAGTGTGTAATCATTTTCCAAAAAAGGAAAGTGACATTGAATGTGGAACGAACAAAAACGGCAACGTGGACATGGTACACGGGACAGAGGGAATAATATTTTACATTACAATAAAATTATATTAAAATACTTTTCAAATAAAATTTAAATTAAGCGTTTCATTTCAAATTAATTTAAAGCCACACCACTATTTTAAACATATCATGTACATATACATGATTATTTTTAATACTTTATACTTAATGATTATTCACGTTAAATATACTAAAATAATAAATACAAAAATTTAAAAATAAAAAAAGACAAAAGAATTTGAGTTTGATTGTAGTCAAATTTTTTTACAGAAGTAATAAAGAAAATAAATACAAAGTAATAGTAAAAAAGAGAATAATAATAATAGAATTAATCTGGTGTAAAGATAAAGTTATGATGAGTCATGAGATAATAACTTTAAATTTTCTATGTTTTCAACTTTCACTCCGGACAAAAAAGGTATATATAATTTTGAAGTTTTGAAAAAAAAAACTATAATAATAAAAAAAAATTGATATTTGATGTGATATTTTACGAAATAAAATATATATATTGTATTTAGTATTACTTTTTTAGAAAAATATATATATTATTTCCATTCTTTAACAAACAATTTATTTTTATATTTTGGTCAATTTTGTAACGAAGTATATTTTTTTTTAATAATTGTATTATCTATTTAACATTTAAAATATTCTTACAACTTAAAATATAGCATTATACAAATATTATTACATTTATATTATATAATACCAATAAAATCAATTTTGTCACTTAAGTTAATTTATACTACATATCAATATTATATTAATATTAAAAAATTTATATATAAAAACAACTAGATACTTAATTAAGAAATGAAAAAAGTATTATTAATTAATAATACCAAATCTTCTAAAAATATGAATAAAAATTATAAAGAACAAAATAATAATTTGTATTTTTAGATGGTAAAAATTAAAATCTTTACAAGATTAATATTTTAAATTTTGGATTAAAGTAAATTAAAGTGTATGAAATATAGTCATAAGTGATAATGCTGTAAATAGAAAACAGAAAAGTAGTAAATACAAAATTTAAAAATAATTGAACTATATATATATATATATATTTATCATATTATCTTACACCCAAAGATAAATGTATATATTGCTTCGAAAAATAAAAAATAAAGAAAATCGAATAATTATTCAGGTCCAAATTAAAAATTGGACCGACTCTCGACGAATCTAGTCTCACAACCATACACGTGTCAAGCAATTTAACAATTCCTGTAAGTTTTTCCCAACCATTATTCTCACACTCACACATCTCAATCTGGACTTTCATTTCTCATTTACTCTTTAAATTTTTTTTCAAATTTTACTATTTAAATGTTATACTCGTTCCTAACTTAGCAATGTATTTAATTTTTTATTTTGGTTTATTCCATAATAAAATATCAATTTTTTTTTAGTAATCTTACTTTCTATTAACATTAAAAATAAGATTATTTTAGTCTTTTCTATTTTTTTTTATTATACTCCAATATAATACTAATATTTCTAAAACCTCGTGTAAAAAGCAAACAGATAGATAAACGATGGACCGAGGAAGTATTTTTTTCAATTATATCAAATATCATTTTAGTACTAAATTCAAACCAATTTTTTTCAAAACTCGAATAAGACACACTTCTTCACAAAACTCGAATGAGACACACTTCTTCACATTTATGTTAATTCACAATATACATACATATCCTGTATATATCTACATCTATCTATATATACTATGTATCATTCATTGGAAATGAACTATTAATCCATTCATTACCAAAAAGAAATCAAACAAACAAACATGGTGAAAGTGTCTCTAACAAGTCTTCTTACGATCGTCATCTTCTTAATTACTACCAATCTTTCATCAGTTTCTTGCAATCCCAAAGAGAGGAGAGCTCTTCAAAAGTTCCAACAAAGCCTCTCGGATCCTTACAAGAGGTTGTCGACGTGGAACGGTCCCGATTATTGCGGATGGGAAGGCGTCACGTGCGACAACGTGACCGGCCATGTTGTCGCGCTCAATCTCCATAACAAAAAGTTTGTCACAAAGCTAGTCGCAAAAGAGCTCGATTCGTCCCTTTTCGAATTGGGCGAGTTGCGCCACCTCGACTTGTCATTCAACGATTTCCAACATAGCTCGATCCCGGAATTTCTCGGATCGATGAAACAATTGGAGTATCTAAACCTTTCGTTCGGGAACTTTGGGGGCATTGTCCCGAGGAGCCTTGGAAACCTCTTAAAATTGCGGATTTTGGACTTGTATGGAATGGAGGATTTGGTGATCGAGGATCTCGCGTGGGCTTCGAACCTCACGAGTTTGGAGGTTTTGGATCTAACCAATATTAACCTTAGCCGGACGAACGATTTGATGAAGGTATTCGGCGGGCTTCCTTTTCTCGAAAGATTGGTTCTTACGAACACCGGGATTGGGCCTGGTAATTTAAGCCCGGATCCGTGTTCGGGCTCTTTATCGCTCGCTAGCGTCCGATATCTTCACTTGAGTTGGAACTCGTTCCGCGGTGAATTCCCTTGTTTTGTTCTTAACATGACTTGGTTAAGAGTTTTGGCGCTTTCAGACAGTGGGCTCATGGGTCGGATTCCTGAGTTGCTCGGCAACTTTTCGTCGTTGACGGAGCTTTATCTTTCTTACAATGAGTTTAACGGTCGTATTCCCGAGTCTCTTACAAACTTGACGGCGCTAACGCAGTTGCACTTGTGTACTAACAACTTATCCGGTCCGATCCCATCGTCGATCGGTAGGTTGAGAGGTTTGAGACAACTCTCGCTCGATCACAACAAGTTGAGTGGCGAAGTTCCCGTCTCTTTAGGACAATTGTCGAATCTCGACAGTTGTGATGTGTCTTGGAACTCTCTCAACGGGACGCTTTCGGAGGGTCACTTCGCCAATCTCTCGATGCTAAGATGGTTTGCGGCGGATTACAACGCGCTTACGTTGAACGTTAGAGTCGATTGGATTCCTCCTTTTCGACTACGACACCTTTCCATAAGATCGATCAAAGTCGGGGGTCGATTTCCGCGATGGCTCCGGACTCAATCGAAGCTCACCTACCTAGAGTTGACGAACACGAGCATCTACGGCGATCTTCCAAAATGGCTCTCCGACATCAACTTTACCGAGCTACACACACCTCAAAATCGCATAACGGGGCCAATTCCCGATCTCTCTCCAACCGTTAGGGGGCTCGATCTTTCGGACAACATGTTAAATGGTTCGATACCGCTCTCGATATGTAAGATGAGGGGCATGGATATCCTTGATCTTTCCAAAAACCATCTATCGGGCCCGATCCCTCGTTGTTTAGTTACTTTCCCCAACATAACATCGTTACGATTGTCATCCAACGAGCTCACGGGTTTTATCCCCGACGCCTTCAGGGACTCCCGTTACTTAGAAATGTTGCACGTGAGCTACAACAATCTCGTCGGGGGAATCCCGACGAGTTTGAAAGATTGCAAGTACCTCTCGGTCCTCGACATTGGGAATAATAAGTTGAGCGAGACGTTGCCCGAATGGATCGGGTCGCACTTGCCCGAAATGGTTGTCCTAAGATTGAGGAACAATAACTTCTCCGGGGCAATCCCTCGAGCCCTTTGCCAATCTTCGAAACTTCAAATCCTCGACTTGGCCAACAACAATTTGACGGGGCAAATCCCGACATGCTTCGGAAATCTTTCCGGCATGATCAAGGGCAGCAGCAGCCAAGTGATACCATACGCACATTGGTACGACGAGAGCTACAACCAAGTCTTGAAAGGATCGGACATGGAGTATGTCCGAGTGACGACAAGATTCGTTGTAAATTTAGATCTCTCGAACAATAAATTAGTCGGAGAAATCCCTCCGGCCATCACAAACCTCTCCGCCTTGATCGGATTCAACTTGTCCCGTAACCATCTCGGCGGGAGAATCCCCGAAATGATCGGAAACATGGAGTTTTTAGAATCGATGGATTTGTCTTACAACGATCTATTCGGGGCTATACCGTCGAGTTTGTCCGAATTATCTTATCTAAGTCGCTTAAATTTGTCGCACAATAATCTTTCGGGACAAATACCGACGGGGAGGCAACTCCAAACTTTACATGACCCTTCGATGTACGGTGCCAATCCCGGGTTGTGCGGCGACCCGTTGCCGAAGAAATGTCCAAATGTGGAAAATGGCGGGAAAAGAGACGACAATGGCGGCGACGACGACGATGACGGCACGGTCGAGACTATATACTTAATTGGAGTGATCGTAAGTGGGTTTGGAACGGGATTTTGGGGCTTCATAGGAGTTCTTGTGTTCAAAAAGAGTTGGAGGGAAACTTATTTTCGTAAGATGGAACGTATCATGCCCAAATTAATGCTGTAATTATATTATTATTATTTGTTGTGTTTATTTGTAAAATTTTGGTTTTTTGTTTTGATTTTGAATAGTAAATTTTTTGTATTGAATAGTTATTTGATGTGATATAAATATATATTGATGTGATGTTTTGAATGTAAAATTAAATTTTAGTGTAATATAATAAATAAAAATTGGTTTTTGATTTTGTATTTTTGGAGGAAAAAAAATTGAAATAGTAAAATCATGTGGAAAGTTGTAAATCAATTGAAACTCAAGTGGCGAGGTTATGCATGTAAAATATAGAACTTTCAATAAGAATAACCAAAACAACAACAATATAAATAATTAATCATCAAATAATAATAAAAAGAAAAATAAAGAAAAGAATTGTAAATCATTACCTAGGAAATGTTATGCTATTATCAAATATGACTTTGTGTAGTCAAATTTTAGGTGATGTATATTGATTGAATTTGAATTGTTCTTTACTTGTGTTTAGTAGGTGAATATTCGTGATATGATAACTCTTTTAAAATCAAATTTTTTTTTTCTTTTCTTGTTAAAAATAGGTGTTGGAACTTTTTTTTTTTTTTAAAACTAGTCTACTGGAATCTTTTTTTGCTGCTGAAATCTGCAAAAAATTTAGTTTTGACATAATTCTGAATGTTTGAATGCATGTTGTTTTTGTCTTGTTTGTGTATTCTTTGTGAATAGTGAATAATATGTATTTTTTAGTTGCTTTGTGGAGTAAATCAATTTTTGCTGTTGTGATTTGATTTTAGTTCTTTGTTGTCTTTGTACTTTGTGTTTGTGTTTCCTAGACTAAGTAAACAATTTAGGTTGTAAGTTTTCCGGGAATATTTGAGTGTTTGTCTAACTGCATGTTAGTCTACTAAGCTTTTTGATAGAGTTTGCTTAGGCTATGTGATAACTTTGTTTCTCTTTGTGATAATGTGTGCAAACCTATATTCTTAACTTCTTTTCTTACTAAGATATTCTTGTAAATCAGAAGTACCAGACGCATAATCTCCCGTGATGATCATATCATCAACATAAAGTAATAGTATAACTATCCCAGATGAATAACGATGAACAAATAAACCAGAGTCGTAAGCGCATGTGGTAAAACCAAACTTCAATAGTGCAATATAGAATGTGGTATACCAAGCCCAAGGGGCCTACTTCAATTCATATAAAGCACGACGTAAGTGACAAACCTTTCCAGAAGACGAGAAACCTGAATGAGAAGTCATATAAACTTCTTCAGAAAGTATGCCGTGTGAGAATGCATTTTTTACATTTAACTGAAGAAGGGACCACTGATGAACAACAACAATAACAATAAGACAACGAACAGTAGTGAGACGAGCAATGAGAGCAAAAGTCTTTATATAGTCAACTCTATGCCCTTAGGAATAACCTTTGGCCACCATACGAGCCTTGTAGCGCTCAATGAAACCATCAAAATTAGTTTTGATTTTGAAAACTCACATGCACCCAATGATGGAGTCTTTGCCAGAGCCTTCAATTCCTCAGTCATAGCTTGCTGCCATAATGATGGATCAACACTCGCCTCACGAAATGACCTAGCTCATGATGAGATAATATGACATAGTAACAATGATAATCATACAAGTGAGCAGGTGGGTGACTTACTCGATGTGATTGACGAGCTATGACAAGTCTAGGGACCGCAGATGGATCATCATCTAGAGACAATGTCGGAGGTAGACCAGAACCCTTAACTAGAGGTGGATCAGAGGTCTAAATTGGAATAGAATCTGGAAATGGTGATGGAGCCGTAGGATCAGGATCAGAAAACAAAGGAGGACATGCCGACAGGAAGAAAGGTGAACCAGAAATAAATGGGATATGAAATTTAGTCAGGGTGGAAACAAGACACTCTCCCAAAAGGTAACATGATGAGATATACGCAACTGTTTAGAATCCGGATCCCAAATACTATAATCTTCCTACTCTACCCCATAACGAAGAAGACAACATACAAGCGCACGAGATTTCAATTTGAAATGTTCATGCGGAAGGATAGCGACAAAACCGAAGGGACGAAGGGTACTATAATCGGGTGGTTGACCATATAGATGCTCGAAAGGGGTGCTATTATGGAGGACATATGATGAAATACGATTTATGATATAGACAGCAGTGAGAGTGACTTTCCCCCGGAACCTATCAGAACAAGAGGCAGACAATAGGGACGCACGAACAATATCTAGAATGTGACGATGTTTGTGCTCAACGCGACTATTCTGTTGAGAGGTGTATGGACAGGAATGTTGAATCAATGTGCCTTGAGCAGAGAGATTAATAAGATAAAATCTCTATACTCAAGAGCATTATCAATACAAAAGGTCTGTATGGGACATGAAAATTGAGTTCGAATCATTTGAGCAAATTTTATGTATGTTTGAGATAATTCTGAACGGTGTTTCAAAAAATATATCCATGTAAAACAAGAGTAATCATCTATGAAAATGACATAATAACAACACCCACTTATCGAGGGAACAAGGGAATGATCCCAAATATCAGAATGAACGAATGCAAACGGTTTACTTGCGACCGATATATTTTTTAAAAAAGATAAGGCTGGTTGTTTTTCCAAATGACAGTGTAAGCAATCAAATAACTCAAAACGAGTAGAACCCAAATGACCTTTACTTACTAACGAGAGACTAAATTTTACAGGAAGACACATGACCAATACAAAGGTGCCATTGAAGACTAGGGGGAAGGAAATGTAATAGCAGTAGAGAAATTACTAAAAAGAATTTTAAAAAATTGTACCTCATATAACTGACCTACTTTTCGATTTGTCACAAGAATTTGACCCGTACGTGGATTCTGAACTTGCACACCAGAAGGAAAAAAAGTAACAGTAATCCTTACTCAACTAGTTGGCCAACCGATACAATATTTAATATAATAAAAATATATAGAAAGAATTTGTTATTTTATATTTTACACAAATTTTGATAAAAAAATCATATAAATAAATAACAAAACAAATATTTTAATAATACTTTGTAAAAGTTTCATTAACTAATAAAAAATTCTTAGAGATTTTACACATAAAAAAATGTAATTAAATATTTTAAAATAAAATATAAATTATCTTTAATTTTCATTTTATCTTTAATTAATGATCAAACTGTTATTTTATCAAATACACAAATTACTAGTATATCAAATTAGTCAGAGCAATTAATTACATCAATGCGCAATTAATCTAATTTGCTAAAAGTAAAAATCTAACTAATTGTAAAAACACCATAAATTTTTTATAATCATAATTATTAATTGCAAAGGTGATTTGGAAATTATAATTAAGAAAGTATTATATTACTTAATGATATTTTATTGTAATGAAATATCTATTCAAAATACATAACATTGATTAATTGCATTTTTTATATTTAAAAATGTTCTCATTGTAGATAAATAATTAAACGATGTTGTATCCTAATATCTTAAATTTTTAGATAAGTCGGTCATTTATACCTGTTATGAGAAAACGAGAAAGAAAACAAATAAAGAACATAGATGTTTTACGTGGTTTGGTGACGGTGTGTCAACCTACGTCAACGGGCAGGAACCGGAGAGATTTTATTATACTGATTTAGAGAGAGTTACAGTCATGTCATATGACTAGGAACCATAGCTATCTATCTATTTATAAGCACCCAAAAACACTCTACACCCTAAGTCTATTTGTTATTAATTAGGATAAGCTCAAAAGGAACTCTGCCAATTGAAATAGACCTTTCGCTTTGGTTTCGGGTTGGGTAGACCGCTAAATCCAAGTCACGTTTCAACAATCTCCACCTTGACTTGGAGTTTCTCCAACTGCCAAAGGTTCGTCCGCATCTCTCAGTTGCCTCCTTCCTGCCAGATGCCCCAAGAGGGCTTCGCCAAGTTCAAGCAATGCTCGAACTTCTTCGTCGGCACTGCCTTTGTCAACATATTAGCTGGATTGTATTATGTAGCTATTTTTTGAATAGAAAACTTGTCTTTTCCAGAACATCACGGATAAAATTCAACTTTACATCAATATGTTTGGTTCTCTCATGATATACTGGATTTTTAGCCAAACTCAAAGCATTTTGACTATCACAGAATAACACCAGTTTCTCCACCTTCAAACCCAAACTCTGCACCATATCATGTAACCAGATACCCTCCTTAATACCTTCAGTCATTGACATGTATTCTGCCTCAGTCGTCGACAGTGCAACCGTAGGTTGTAAAGTAGACTTCCAACTGACTGCACATCCAAACAGAGTGAACATAAAGCAGGTCAGTGATCTTCGTTTCACCAAGTCACCCCCGTAATCAAAGTCTGCATAGCCAACAAGACCATCACCATGGTCTTTTCAAATATCACAAGATATTAGACGCTCCTTTCAAATATTAGACGCTCCTTTCAAATATCACAAGATCCACTTTACAGCTCCCCAGTGAGCTTTACCCGGATTTAGCCATAAGCCTGCTCACTACACTAACCGCATAAGCGAGATTCGGTCTCGTACATACCATCGCATACATAAGACTTCCAACTGTACTTGAATATGGAACCGTCTTCATGTAGCTAACCTCTTCATCTGTAGCTGGTATAGTGTTTCGATCAAGTTTAAAGTGTGCCATCAAAGGGGTACTTACCGGTTTGGACTGATCAACATAGAATGCCTGCAATACTTTCTCAATATACTTTTCTTGAGAAACCCATAGCCATCCTGCTTCTTTATCACGCCAGATCTCCATACCAAGTATTTTTTTTGCCGTACCCAAATCCTTTATCTCATACTCACCTTTTAGTAGAGCCTTCAAGTCATTAATTACAACCATGTTTTTAGCTGCAATTAACATATCATCAACATACAACAGAAGATACACAAAGGAATCAGTAGAAACTTTCTTTGAGTAAACACAATTATCAAACTGATTACGAGTATAACCATTAGACACCATGAATGAGTCAAATCTCTTGTACCATTGCCTCGGAGACTGCTTCAAGACATATAGAGATTTCTTTAATAAGCATACCTGGTCCCTTTTAGAACTGTAGAACCCCTTCGGTTGAGACATGTATTGAGACATGTAAATCTGTTCTTCTAGATTACCATGAAGGAATGTTGTTTTTACATCAAGCTGCTCTAGCTCCAGATCAAAAGTACCCACCATTGC